GGCTTGCCTGATTCACCCTGTCTCAGGACCCTTGTATTATCTTTTTAATTGTTTGAATCTGCTATTGTTTCAACATTTTTTTTTTTGCCTACAGTACCCTCCCTCTACCCTTCCATTCCTCCACTGTTTGGAACTATAACAGGCCAGTCCCTGGTACCCACTCATGACTGGAGTGGAAGAGCCTGCAGGTTTCTGACACTGCATATGCAAGGGAACTGAGCTTCAGGAATATTTAGAAATTCTACCCAATTCTTTCATCCATTAAATATTGGAGGAAAACAAACAAATAAGCAAAGACCAACCTCCAAACCAGGGTTTTTCTTCATGTGTGCTCTCTCTAATGCCATTCACTGCTTCCATCAGAGGAGTTAAACAGAAACTGACTTTTCTTTCTTTTTCTTTCTTTCTTTCTCTCTTTTTTCTTCCTTTCCCTCCCTCATTCCCTCATCCCTCTCTTTCATTCTAAGACAAATTTTTGTTTTTGTTTTTTCTTTCTAGGCCTGGTTGTCCTGGAACTCACTATGAAAACCAGGCTGGCTGGCCTCAAACTCACAGATCCACCTCCTCTGCTTCCCAAGTGCTGGGATTAAAGACATACACCAACACTGCAAAAGCAGAAACTTACTTTTTTTGGAGACAGGGTTTCTCTGTGGCTTTGGAGGCTTTCCTGGAACTAGCTCTTGTAGACCAGGCTGGTCTGGAACTCACAGAGATCTGCTTGCCTCTGCCTCCCTAGTGCTGGGATTAAAGGCATGCGCCACCACCTCCTGGCAGAGAAACTGACTTTTAAATACACAACAATGCAGTGTAACCTTATTAACCAATACTGATCAATTTGATCCAAAGAGTTTGGGGATGTTTTGTTTTGAAAACAAAGGTAATCTGTTATTTTTAATCTTGTTCAGGATTTTGTTTGTTTGTTTTGTGTAGGGGGCTCCCATTTTAGTGCTTCTGGCATGGTTCTGCTCCTGGGGAACATTTGGGATTATCTCCAAAGGCTGGTAAACTTTGCCCATTTGAGTGATCAGATACCAACAGGCTTTCTATGGGAGAGTCTCCATCTGGCTCAAATTTGTGCCTCTGCATTTTCTAGAGATGTGATTTCTTTACAAATGTGCTGGAATTACCTCTTACAAAGGAGCAAAAGATATTGCTGAAGAACATAAGCACAATGAAATAAGAGATGTCAAAAGGGATGTATAAATCCTTGCTGTTTACTCTTACTACTTTCATCATGCAAATGCATTTAACATTTTCTGAAACAGTGATAAAGTTTTGAATGAAAAAACATACGACATTTCAAATATGCCAAGTTAGAGATATTACTGAGATAGGGAATATTCACAAAAACTTGTTGTTTTACACTCCCAGGAGGCTCTTTGCTTAATGAGAAAGGAGCATTTATCCTCTGACAAACGCAGTGTTATAAGTTTATACTAATATATGGATACATCTATGAACACAGATAATCTATATTTGTCACAGGCGATGTACTGGTAAATAAAACATTATGTAAATAATGCTAGGCCACACACAGTTCTGTGCGGGTGGCTGATTCAGCAGTGGAAAGCAAAGTCACACACATTGATTTACACATGCTCAAATGTTTAAATACCTATGTACATTTCATAAAACATAAAAGCATCCTTAGTTAACCATTTCAACATACTCTCAATATCATATAAGAATTAGGGTTTAGCAATTTTATCCAGGACTGGCACACATTCTTGGATGTCTTACCCACCCACAGTCAGATTGAATTCTTTTTTATTTCTAAATTGAATAGAATGGTCTCTGAAATCCCCTCCAGCATTAAGAAGCATGGTGGAAGACCCAACTCAGCTTCCCTTATTTGCAGTACACCATTATCCCTTTGAATCTCCATTAAACACTAAGACAATTATCTACTCTATTATTTTCATGAGAAAAGTTAGTTCAGGGAGATTAACTAATTTGTCTATGGTAGAAATGATGCTGAAGACACTATTAAATTAGGAGCTTGATTGTAGTATTTAGTTTTCACCTACATTTCTAGGGTATAAACTTATCTTTCAAAGCTACATGTTAGAAATCATTTACTAGTCAGGGCATCAATTTCAAAACAAACAAAGAGCCATTGCTTAGGAAATACTTTTGTGAATCTAAAATGAAAATATTTGCCTACAACTTATATATAATTAATTGTTTTTTATATTTGTGAAATTTGAAATGAATAGTGTAGACAATGCTTTCAGGTTTTGTTATGATCTTCAATCCATTTCTTATACCATGTTAGATTTGTAGTTACTAAGAATCTAGTATTTACAAAAATAACTCAGTTTGTAGAGACAGTAGCATAGAACGTTTCTCCAGATGTCCTTCAGTGAAACTGATTCAGATATATGGTGATCACTTAGAATATGAAAACTCAACACACATTTCTTGTTTGAGCCAACTTAGCCAAGATATTACCCAAACATTCATATGCAATACTTAACACGAAGGTGGCACTGCATGTTTACTGATAATGACATTCCTTAGACCCAGGATACAGTACTTTCAGATGCCTCTAACAGGGTTTCATTACTGAAGCTGTGATGAATAACACTTTGGTTGCATATAATTGTGCAACTTAATACAGTCACATATTTTGACCAGGAATGTCTTGGCACAACTCAACATTTGCTCACAATAAATAGATATTATTTCTAGCAAGGTCAATATTCTCCTGCTCTTTTGGAGTCATTTATACCATATAAGCTTTGTTAGCTTGCCCTATCAATAAATAGAAATTTGTCTTTTCAGATGAGTACATATTTTGACTTTATTAAGTCAGACTTGATTTTATCATTATATTTCAGATGTTTCATATTGTAGTTCTGCAACAATACTTTACTGAATATTTTATCCCAAATAAATAGCAAGTAGCAGAGATGTAGGAATCACTTATCCTTATTGCAATTTTGGCCAGCTCCAGATCTGCACTCTTTACTCTCTTAACAACAAAATCCCAAGTACTATATTCCTGATTTTCTATCTTTCTACTCATGTTCTGCTTTGATCTTGGACTCCCCCCAAGGTCTTCCAAATATTGGGTTATTTTAACCTTTTTAAATAGGGTCAGTGAGGATGTCTATAGAGAAACACAGGTTTCTCATTATTCAATGAGAAAAGCCTTATGACAGTAATTTCTCAAGTACATTGAATTAAAATTAATTATCATATGTTCCTTGAAGAAATGGTCAAAGGGATGGGAAGGTCAAACTGAAATTTCATTTCCTTGACCTGATGACAGGGTCTCTGTCTTTTATGTTTCTCATCATTGTACCATTGATTCTCTATACTTTTCCTAACATTGGTGTATGGCGAGGAACTTGGCAGTCATGGAAAAGATTTGCCACACCTAGACTCTAATATATTGACTTGTGCAGTAGAAGATAGATGCTGGTATTTATTTAAAATCATGTTTGCCTAGCTGTACAAAAATCTTTCCAACTGGATAACACAGGTCAATAAAAAGTCAGCAGCAACACATCTAATAACGATGCTAAAATACAGAACTACTTTTAATTGTGCAATATTCCTGTAAAAGCCCTTGACTCCTATTATTAGAATATACAGCCTTAGGTTTTACCATTCAAAGTTCAAAATTCAAAGACATGAATAGTTGAATGCCTGCTCAAGATAATCAAAAGGGATTTCGGATGTGACTTGTTTAACACCATAGGAGAAACTCTCATGGAGATCTGATGCCAATGCAAATTTACATGTCAGCACATTACATTGAAATATTAACTTCTTACATAGAACAGTATGAAATGAAATACTGATAGTTGGAATCTTTTATTCTTCACAGTGCCTTATCTTTGAATTCTTGCAGAGCATAAGTGTCATAATGTCATGTATATTGCTAAAGATCTTTCTTTTTGAAACTTTCATTTATACTCAGGATCCTCTGACTCCTACCTCCTAAGCATCGAATATGTGTGGTACCACATGCAGTAACTATGTGTTCAAATGCAAAAAAAACACAAGATGCAGTTTAAGAAAATTTACACTTTCAGATGTTTAATGATAGTAACACAAAACAAGGTCCAAGAAACACACAGCAATTATCTTGTGGTTCCAGAATTACTATTGGTAATTCTGGACATGAGAATTAATATGGACTATGTTTTCTTAATAAAGCATTACCAGTTCTTCTTACATACTTATTTCTTCATTAACAATGGAAATTTTGTCATATCAAAAATTTAATCTATCACAAATAACTCAAAGATTTTGAGGAATTCTCAAAAGTTCAAAAATCTTAAACATGCATCACACTATGTGTGGGAAGATCTATTGTCCATTTCTCATTTAATAGAGGCCAATATTAAATACAGAGTTGCACCAGTACTTTAATCTTCTAAGTGGATGAGTGGAATTACTTTGTTTAACAGCAGATTCCACTCATCATCATCAGTAGGGATAAAATATATTTATGCTTGACAATTCTTACACTATTTCTGGAAAAAATGCAACAGAAAACAATTTTATGAAGCATAAAGCACTTAATTACAATAATAGATGAAATTGCATATAAATAATACAGCATTTCTCAGCAATTTATTAATTTTTATAATTAAACTATCTCATTAAAATGTTTCAAGTTCATTTTGATACAATTTTGGTTCTTTTCTGGACAGTTACCAGTGTTTCAGGAATCCCAGTTAGCTGACCTTGGGTAGGATTCTATGGGATGTGGACTATAAGGGTACACATGATGCTGTCTGCAAGTTTATGGTGTATCTATATTAGCATCACTTCTCTTCTTTGTCATTTATTTACTTCTGTGATCAATATAATTCTTTTGTAACAAGATTCATAATATTGGTAAAGAATAAACACCATGGTTGTTATATTCAAAACAGAAAATTACAAAGAAAGTATTACCAAAAACTTTAAGAGAAAGAAAGCATTTCAGAAAGACAAAATATTACACTAGTTTGGTGATAAGTGTGAAACAAAAGGGATCCTACCTGTTGAGTCAAAGTTCACCTCATTGCCAGGACTTGGACCCACATCAATGGACACAATTGGAATGAGTTTCCGGAAGTCCCACAGCTTTGTAACTCCACGGGCATCACAGGATGCTATTATGTGACCCTTTAAAACATATAATAAAAGAAATACATATATAGCCATCTACCATAAAAACATAAATGTAAGACTTATGTTTTAGTTTTATCAATGCCACAAGGAAATCATGTTTCTCTAACCTAAAATGAATTCATTGTTTCTTCATCTTAGATATAATATTATATTAAACTATCTTCTTAAGATATACAGTCTTGGGGCTGGAGAGATGGCTCAGCAGTTAAGAGCACTGACTGTTCTTCCAGAGGTCCTGATTTCAATTCCTGGCAACCACACGGTGGCTCACAACAACCTTGAATGAGTCTGCTGTCATGCAGGCAGAAGACTGTATATGTAATAAATAAATAAATAAAATCTTAAAAAAATAAAAATTAAAAAAAGATATACAGTCTTACATGAAAATTATGAAGATAATTTTTAAGGCAGTACTTAAATTTTAGTTCTGTGGAAAGATGTAAAAAGTTGAAACACTTATATCTTGTTTTATTATGCAAACTGTATGTGTATGAGATATGTGACACATAAAACTGGAAATAGGAAAGATTACTTCCTATGTGCATTTCATGTAATGGGCTTCTAACTAGTTAGTACTGCTAACTTCACATATGAAGTGAAAATACCAGTTAGGAAGAGAAGGCCAGGTGGTGGTGTGTTCATCTTTAATTACAGCACTTGGAAAGCAGAGGCAAGCAAATCTTTGTGAGTTCAAGATCAGCCTGATCTACAGAGCCAGTTCTAGGACAGCCAGGGCTACACAGTGAGACCCTGTCTCAGACCCTCACCCTCCAAAAAAAAGGAATTAGGAAGATAAATGGATGCAATGAGCAGCATTAGGCAAACTTCTCAGTAGAGATGTTTGAGCTATTTTGTTAACAAACTGTATTTGCTTGATAATGCTTTTGCTATTGCAAGAAAGATGCTAAAAACAATTTTGTAGAGCATAAAATACTTAATTACAATTAGTAGCTGTTGTATTAGAACATGGAAGAAGGTGTTTGGATGAAGCAGAGAGAAAACAGAAGAGTAGATGAACCAAGTGTAATGGAGAAAGTGAAGGGGCTTTTGGGCTTTTCCAGAATAGTAATAAGCCTGAGTTTATCCATTAGGAGGTCCACAGCAGTCTAAACGTCCTGTCTAGAACTTGACCTCTCAGAAAAAAGTCAACTTTTAAGGATCCCTCCACATCAGTATCTGGGGGTGGGATGATGGGCAAGAGGGGTTCTTGCTTTCCATCTACATTCATTATCATTATTTCTGCATTCAGTTTCTGTAATGATAACTCTTTCCACCAGCTGTCAGAGCCCTGCCTCTGCCATTGAAGACACAGTTTAAAATTTCCTGCTTCACTGAGAAGTCCTCTAGACACACTGTGGCCTATAGGCAGAAGATGGATGATGTCCTAACATCCAGAGGAACTTCAGGTAACTGTCCAGGCAGTGAGATGTCTCTGTCAGATCTAGAGTTTATATATTACCCTTCGGTGGTCTTTGATGGAGTTAAAGACAGATCGTTATGGTTATAGTTTTCTTTAGTTATTATAAGCTACATATTAGAATCTAGGCTCACAAAGATAAGATAGATGATGGAATATTTTCTTTAAAATCTTGCTAAATGTTAATCAACTAAATATTGTAACTATAGTTCTTACTTGATAACTGTTTTGTTATATAGTTTACTATGTTAATATTAAAAGCCTTCTTTTTATTTAGACAGAAAAGAAGAGATGGTTGGGGAAGTCCTTCTGTGTATATGTTTGTCTTATTGGTTGATAAATAAAGCACCATTGGCCAATAGGGAAGCAAAATATGTGGGGGGGGTAGGAGTCTAGGAGGATTCTAGGAAATGCAGTAAAGACAGGAGTCGCCATGTGATCCCTAGGAAGAGAGGACGCATACAGCAGGGATCCTCAATAAGATAAGTCTTTATAAAATATATAGATTAATGATTATGATTGATAATTAAGACTGGGCTAGCAGACAAGAAATCCTAGTCATTGGCCAGCAACATTGTAATTAATATAAGACTATGTGTGTTATTTGTGGGGCCTAAAGTGGTGGGCAGAACCTAGGCAGCTGGTGCAAAGAGTTATCATTACAAGTTTCTGCTCTCATTCATAAATGCAAGGACTTGGCCACCTCAGGGCCACATCAACGTTCACATTCAGTAGACTTTACAATTTGTCTTGCAATTTCCCTTTGATTTTTAACTGTCAAATCAAAACTTTCCTTTTTCTTTCTTAATTTTTAAAATTGTTAAAAGCATTAATTTTCTTACTAAATAATTTTCTTTGTTATTTTTATCAAGGTCATATTTTTCCCTTTTCTTATTTACTGACAGATGTGTATCCTTCTTGTAAGAAATGAACAACCTGTATAAGAGTTCAAGGAAATTTTTTCTTTTCCCATAAATGCACCAGCCGTGCAAGGGATGGAGTTTGTTTTAAATTCTGTAACTGTTGTCATTGGCAAAGCAATATGAAATCTGTGTCCCTAATCTAACCAATGAGATGCTCAATCTTTTATGACTTGAAAGGAGCAGCGAGAATTTGGAATGCCTTCAAGTATGTAAACACATTTTGTAAGAATTGTGAGGAATCAGTGAGTATCATTACAGAAAAATAAAAGATCAGTTCATGGGTCTTAGCAGGGATTATTAATATTACAAATTAAAAATGTTCTTTCCAAATATAAAGACTTTCAATAATCTTCAGACACATCAGAAACGGGATCTTTGTTCAACCTAGAGAACATAGTAGTTAAGTTTTCATCAGAATTTAATTTGGGTGTACTTCTCACCAGAAGCATGTTTATTGACTTGGACTTTGTCTGCAGACTTAAAATTAAAGATGATTAAAGAATATACCTTATCAAAATGAGTATTAAAACAAGAGGAAATAAACCAAAAAATTTTAAAATGGCCTCCTTGTTTATAATTGGTGAAAATAAATACCAAGATGTTTTTATCTTTAATATCTAATGATGTTACTGTCAAATGGTCAATGTTTTGTAGTTTAAAAATATTAAAATGTTTTAAAACTTATAACATGTTTTTAAAAACAAGGTGTTACATAATTCAATAAAATAATGCATAGTAATACTGACAAACTTTTGAGCAATGACCATAATTTAACCATGTTTTTCATTGCCTTAGGAACTTAGAAACTATGATGAAGGATATATAGTGTTGAAATTAACATAGTAACTTAAGAGATAGACATTGATTTTGAGATTTTATAGCTACAAAACATTAATGAATAACTACTTAGTTATACAAGCAGGTAAAGCACATGGAGAGCCTAGCATGGTATTTTTAGCATAATGTAGCCTTGGAAAATACCCGTTAAATTAGAAGGTGTATAATATCGTCATGGAGTTGACTGTAATATTTTAGCTTATGCCATGTTCAGCCTTAACACTCTTAAGGCTGATATTAATTTTAGCACTCATGATTTTGAGTCAGAAACAAGCAGGTAAATGAAGAAAAGGTTATTAAAAACTTGGAATATCCTAAAGACTCCAGAAACTTCCTTTTCTCATCTCAATCAAATCAGAAGGGCATCAGTTTACCTCCCTCTGTAAAACAGGACAGCAATTTAGAATAGCATTACAGAACTCAAGTATGATTTTTGAGGAATCCTGAAGTAGAGAAAGAGATTACATGGTGACCTGGGGGAAAAGTCATGCCATATAAAACTTACAACAGATAGAGGCAAAGGATTGTGACAGTCATTAGGTACTTAGCCTAAACTAAGCAAGATTTCAAAGAAAAGAAGGTAGATGGGATTGTGTAATAGTCTTAAAAAGACTGAGAACTCACGAGCTCTGGCAATGTCTCTAAAATGTAATTCTGTGTTAGGTCCTATTGAACCATCACTACCAAGATGTAGGGTCCAGAAATGAATGATCAAGTACTGAGTTCCTAAAGATGTTCTGTTCTGCATGGGGCTGTGTCTATAATTCCTGGGGCCCTGCTTAGTTCCTGCTCCGTGCTAGCACTTGAGCTTTAATTAAATAATTGAACAAATGAGAATGAAGGGAGTATAGACTTATCAGGGTTGAGTGTATGTGATTTAAAGGATATTTTTAAATTGCAGAAATGTTAAGAAGCTAGTGGCTATACAGATGAATTTTATTGTTAGACTTAAATGATCTGGTGAAATAGGCCAGCAAGTAGAAAGCACTTGCAATGCAATTCTGAAGACCCAAATTGGATCCCAGCAAGCCATGGTAGAGGGAGAAACTGACAACCAAAAGTTGTCCTCTGA